CAGTGTTGTAACTGCATACTCCTTTTTCAGTTTGTTTGTTTGTAAATTACAAAAGAATGTAAATAAATACCTGCAGTCAATTTTTTGGACCACGGAGTATATTTGATCGTTTGGTCTGATCGTACGGGTAAGGGTGGTTGTGTGAAGGAAGTCATCATCAGAGTCGAGAGTGAAGATTCATATGAAGATTTGTCGATTCGAGCAGAGAGTGCTACACAACAATGAACAAAGACGAAGTATAACAGATAACACCGAGTAAGGAATACCTCTTCCCGTCCCGTGGACAAGACTTAAACAATCAGTTACACCTTAACGCAAACGGAACTCAACGGTTCTAAAGAAACTTCACAAACCTGGTTTTCCAATGCGACCTACAGTTTCGCTCCATGATTTCCTGTATAAGCTACATTCCAGCGACGACTTTACAACGCCACCAAGACTCTGACTGAACAGATACCTGACGACTATAAGCTAGTGTCTCTTTGTGAAATGTTCAGTACGGTTTCACTTCAATTGGCATTACAATGTACCTGTTTCACAGTCGAGCAGGGAGATTTTTCTTTAACAAACAAATCGTTATTGCGATTATTTGCCTGCTGCTCCATTATTAATTTTGGTATTGAGAGTCGCTTTGATTTCTTTCTTCTCGGCGATAAAAGTTCAACATGACTAGTTCTAAGATGCGTTATTTGAATGAAATATAATGTATCCAGCAATTGAAACTGCTTTCTTCTCCTCCTTTTTCACTACTGTATTAATCATGTATAGGACAACAGAATGCGATCATGAAAACAAATTCCACCTTCAAAGACGTGCACCTTCACTTTTCCCGTTATCCACTCTCATTTCACATTATCTCTCAAGTTCTAATCTCCTTCCTCGCCGTATAATTTTCTTTCCGGGGAGGGGGCTAAATGCGGACGCTGTTTTTAATACAGTAGGATATCAGCAAAGAAAATTCATGGAAGGGATCAACGCAATAGGTTAAATATAAATAACATTTGCTAAGTAGCTAAAGGGAGCATCAGCTGACCCTCACTTGTATGTGTTTTTTCGCAATACTCCCGATGAAAATGCGGCCTTTTGTGCGCTATTCGACGATGGAATATGAGACCATCTTCTCTTGTGAGCTTGTTTATATCTGAGGGTAGAAAAAGCATCCGAGCGAGAAACAAGTAGTTATATTCAAGATTTCGGCCATTTATTAGGTTTCCTGTCTCCTCTATTACCCTTCTATAACAACAAGATGGGTCGTAATCATGATAATAATGACAATTATGATAATGAATATTAAAAATGCCACCATCAAATCTTTCATAATGATAATAATTTTAAAAGACCACTCACTATGGAGGCCTGTCAATAGATATAAAGTTGTTAAAAAGGTATGGGGTAGACCAGTGTATTAGTTACAGAGCGCAGCCAAGGAGAGTGAACTGATTGGGGGCAACTGAGAATTTGAAGGAATGCAATGTTTAATGGGGTGCAAATCTCGAACTTGGGACCACCAGATTATAAGTCCTCCATCGCCCTAGCAACCCGGTCACAAACATAAGGAGCCAATTTTACAAAGATAAAAATGAAATTTATTTACAAGTAAGTTCATATATGCATATGAAACCTTGAATGATACACTTNTTTAAGGGTACAGAGAGGCCCTTTTGTCAGAAAACTATGAAAACAGGTAGCATCTGTCTCAACATGCTACTCAATAAACTAAATCATTAATATGATAGAGAAAATTCACTGTAGCCGACCTACTGATTTCCTTGTTTTTAGACAAAAGACAAAAGGCAAAAAGCAAAAGCAGTCCCACTAAACGGTGAGGGGAGAACGAAGGAGAAAGAAATCGGCTATCTTCTTAGTTCCTAATTTATTCTTCCTTTCCCACTCTTTGTGTTTCAAACACGAGAATAAAAAAAAAACATTCTATTTCGCAGAACCACTGTCTTAAAATTGAGTTACCAGGCCAATTAATTTCACTTCTTTGCCTTATTTACCAAAGACAAACTCAAATTTAGTACTAGTATCATTTATTTTGATCTGAAATTTTTCCCTGCTAGGTTCATTTCAAGTTTTCCCTCTTGACAGGCATATAACACAAAACTGATCCTGAGCTGACTTTACCTAGATCTCCTCAATAACCTAAGTGAACTTGAAACATTTCCTCAGATGGAATTCGACTGGAAATTTATTGATTATGAAATACACCCTCCCCTCTATTTCCACTGCGCCCGAGTCGTTTGTGGGAATATGTTTCTGAGGCACTACGGACCAGGTGTTAGTACCTTCATGATACACTTCCACAGGCGCAGGGTCGCCACGACCCTTACAAATCTTTCCCCCTGCCACACAAAGTCTGTCATTGACAACAAAAAGACTGGATTCAAAATGAGGAAGGCAGGTTGACGTAATGTTTGTCCACACATTGTAATTTGGGTCAAAACAGTGTACCACAGCTGGTTTATCGACCCAAAACTCGTAGTTTCGGTGATCTTTTTCAATTTTTCTATAACCATGAATTACATATATTCTAGAGCTCATTACTGCCGCTGAAAAGGTACTTAACTCTTCCCTCCTTTGTGGCTCTCCTCTACATAACGGTTTAATGAAATTCAACCCTTCTTCCCCTTGCCAACTGTTATCTATCAAACTGCACCTTTGAGGGGGATTTTATTCACTAATAGCGTAAATATAGTCACCGACAGAACACAAGCTGTTAATTTTCTGGTTTTTTCCGTAATTTGGTAGTTTATCCCATGAGTTATTTACCATATCATATCGATGTATAAACATAATCATTTTCCTTCTTTTGTCCAGCTAATAATAAGCCCTTTCTATTATGATTTTTCTGCTTTTGTTCTGCTACAAATAAGTAGTTTCCACTGCGTTCAGCACATAAGTAAGAGGTAGTTTTCTCACCTAATTGTGCTACAGAAGGCAAAGGTTTCCATAGCTTCGCTTCGACATCAAAGTAATAAGCCATACACTGCGGCGCTGGTGGAGGCCAAAAATAATCATACGCATGGAAGACTTCATCTTGAACTGTACCGAGAGGCTGTATACGGTTCGTAGGGTAAATGGCAACGAGTAACTGAAACAAGAGACAATAACTTAAAAATTCCTCTTTTCAGCTGACAATCCAGAAACTTTTTTGCAAAGAAGGTATTTAGTTTTAGGCTATATCTATAATATAGTAGATATATATGTATACATATGTAAAACATATAATATAGAGCAGATGGTTAATTTTTTGGGCATCTATATTTCTACTGAAATAGTTTTAATCGATCACAGTACGGACAACATGGCAGTCCCTGGCTTATTGTTTATAAATGAAGATTCTTGTAAGAAATAGACAACTTTTT